AACATCATCTCTTCTCATCATCTTTTCAACATTTCCGATTGATTTTAGCAGAACTAGAGTTGAAATAAAACTTAAACAAAAGCGAAAAAACAACAAGACACAACTTTTGTAATTTTAGGACTCTGGGTTGTTGTACAATCACGTTTAGACGAGGAACGACAAACTTTGGCTGTTTGATTGTTCCTGCCTAGGACCAAATCCATCGAATTAATTGTTACACTGTTTCAACAGTTTGAAATTCTGAATTTGAAAAACTCTTCAATTTTGGGAGCATGCAAGGTCGAGAGGCCACAACCAACAACTGAGCGAGCAAAACTATCTGCTGTGCTCATTTAAAGAGCTCTTCAAGAAATAATAAAAAATTGATCCACAACATACTATCAACCAACAAAATATATTTATGTAGAGACCAGGAATCATCAATCCAACACAACTGACTCCACCCATCAGCGATTTAATTTATTCATCTCACAAGAATACACTTGAAAATATTATTACTGTTCAACTTTTATTTCAAAAAATTATCACCTCCAGATTGTATAGCACATTATTTATTATCAAACCGAATTTACTCAGGAAAAATATATTACATATATATATATAAAATAATATATATTTAAATAATTTAAAATTCAATGGTATATATCATTACAAAAATTGTTGTAACATTGATTTTTCCGAACCTAAGAGGAGTGTAACAGACCTTCAACCCGATAACCAAATTTCAACATTTTATCGATTATGCTGAGCTAGAAGGAATGATCTAAATTCATAAGTTCGGACAAGCTTGTTGAGTTCATTTGTGAGTAGGTCTAGACAGTGAACACACGCACACAACAAACTATTAATTTTATAGTTTAGAAGTTATATATATATATATATATATATATATATATATATATATATAACGTATTATAAATATTATGAATGTATATACAATTGGGCCCGTGTTAAATTAAACGATTCAAAAAATTTTTTTTTGGAAGATTGTAAGTGACAAAGGTGCATCAATTAACATTCTCTTATTATTGGTTAAAATAACCTTCAAATAAACCACGGATACATTTCGATAATAATTAATATAGGAACTAATTAATTAATTGATTAATTAATGGATTAATTAATTGATTAGTTAATAAATTAGATGACGTCAGTAACATCGAATGTGAATTATTTATATAACGCGAATGGATGGCCAATCAATCAATGTTCAGCAAATGAGACGAAATGAACAATTAAGACATCCAGCAAAATATAAATACGTATGAAAATTAAATAGCAGCTCAATCAAATATTATTTAATCAGTTAATTAACTAATTAGCTAATTAATTAACTAATTGGATAGTTCATAAACTTCAATTATATTTGCAGAGGATTAAATAGTAGCAGTAAATATTTTAAATATTTTGCCACACACACACACACACACACACACACACACACACACACACACACACACACACATCACCATCAGTCATCCTTCCGAGTCATTTGTTAGCGGCGAGCAACATCAATATAACATAAGTTATAATTAATAAAAACACGTTCAAGTATGTAAAGAAATATTATTATTATTTATATATATATATATAATTAAATATAAATATATATATTTATATGTGTGTGTGTAATTTTGTACGCTTAGGTTAATACAATGTAAATATGCAAGACAAGGCATCACGTAATAAAACCTATCATGAAGTCACAATAAGGACACAACATCAGCAACAACATCGACAACAACGACAACATCAGCAGCAGATACGCACACACACACGCACACATGTAGAGGCACATTATAATGAGAGGCGTGCTACTATTGTTCAGGCTATATCCCGCTTCAAACCACAAAACCTTGATTCAAAATTATTTTGTACCTTTCTATCATGTGTATGATATTTGATACTTACATTTTTTTTTGAAAATAGAGATAGAGAATCGATGAATGTTTGCACGCGTGCATGGGTGTGTGCATTTTGATCTTTATGTATGCCTATACACGTTGGTCTGTACGTGTTTATGTATGTCATTATTTAAATGTGTTTGTACTATGCATGCATGCATGTGTATGTATATATATAATGTAAATATAAACGTATGTATGTGTGTGTTCATTCATGTATGTAAGTTTTAGTACGTTCATGTTTTCGCAACAAGTGTACGCTTACTTGCACAAACATACACACACGCACACACACATACATAATGTGTATGTACTTCGCACACGCACACATGTCTGTGAAATAATTTTCATAATATAAAATAATATACATGCACTGTTTAAGTTCTGATGACAACAATTCATCAATTACCATTAACCACCATCATCGTCATCATTCTCATCACCATGATTAACATCATCATCATCATCATCAACAACATTATTATTATCGTCTCGGTTAGGATGGTCATCATCCCATTTCGTCATCCATCTATCCATCCATCCATTCCATTCCTCCATCCATCCATTAATTATCTCATCATTTTCATTTCACAATCACAGCCATGTAATATAAGAAACGACGTGATGATGACGATACAAAAGATGATGCTGGTGTGGTGATGATGATGGTAGAGATGGTTGAATTTAAAAATTTGACACAACAATCTAACTGAGGAACTCGTGAAGATGGCGATGATGACGATGATGATGATGACGACGACGATGATGATGACGACGATGATGACAATCGTCCTAAACAAAAAGATTATTATCGCCAGCAATTAAAACGTCACTTTAATAATTTTATTAATGCACTTTTGTTGATAACACTGCGATCGGTTGGTGATGGTGATGATGACGGTGATGATGATGACATCATTTTGCGTCACCACTTGTTACAAGTGTGATGACGAAGAAAATTACGATGACGCATCTGACGATGATGTTGTGAGTGAGATCATCATGATGATGATGATGACGTCATGATGATGTTGTGAGTGAGATTATGATGATGATGATGATGACGTCATGATGATGTTGTGAGTGAGTGAGATTATGATGATGACGTCATGATGATGTTGTGAGTGAGATCGTGATGACGATGATGACGTCATGATAATACAGTCGTAATGCCTATATGTGATATTGATGTCACATTGATGTACGTGATATTGATGTCAAAATGATATACATGATATTGATATCATTACGATAATGATATTGATGTTATAACGATGACGATGATACTGATGTCACAATGATATATATATATATATATATATATATATATATATATATATGATATTGATATCATAATGATATTGATGTCACAGTGATATAGATGTCATGATGATGCATGCACCGATGGTAGTAATCCAATCACAATGCAGATGTCTTAATGTCATATGATATTAATTTGAAAAAATAAAATCCACCTCGCCAAATTTGTATCATTCAATGAATTTCTACAAGAATAACTTTGCAGGTGTAAATAAATAACACAAAAAAAACTATTCTTTTTTATTCACTCACTCACTCATTCATTCATTCATTCATTCATTCTTTCATTCGTTAGTGTTTGTAGTTACAACAGCGTAACTCTCACTCACTCACCCACTCACTCACTCACTCGCTCACTCATTCAACATTCATTCATTCATTCATTCATTCTTCATCCATTCATTCATTCATTCGTGAGTGGTTGTAGTTACAACAGCGTGAATAATGACAACAACAATAACCTAACATTACTATCAAGAATAATAACAATAATAATAACAATAATATTGATAATAATAAAAAAAAATCAAAAAGTTGAAATGTAACAATAATAATAATAACAAAAAGGAAATGAGAAAGAAATGAAGCTGGCGAGAAAAATATTTGCAGATATGTCGGGCCGTTAAAATGTGTCTCTAAGCTATTACGGAGAAGCATCCTATTAACGTCATTATTTTTATACACTTGGGATCTAAATGAACGAGTGAGTTGATGAATGAATGAATGAGTGAATGTATGAGTGAGTGAATGAATGAATGAGTAAATTGATGAATGAATGAGTGAATGAATGAGTGAGTGAATGAACGAATGAGTGAACTGATGAATGAGTGAATGTATGAACGAATGAGTGAAATGATGAATGAATTAGTGAATGTATGAGTGAGTGAAAGAAAAATAACGAAAAAAGAAATCAAGTAAAATAAGAAACTATAAGAAAAATGGCAATGATCCTAATGTACGTTTGCCATCTTGGTGGGTATGAGGAGATGATGCTGGAAGCCTTCAAATGCCACGAATCACCACCGAAAGTATTCAGAAATTAATTTATCGAGTAGAATAAATAACACAGATTAAATGGAAGAATGATCCAAATGAATGCACCACAATATAATAAACGTACCAAACCAATGAATGTACCAATGAATGTACCAATGAATGTACCAATGAATGTACCAATGAATGTACCAATGAAGTACCATGAATGTACCAAACCAATGAATGTACCAAACCAATGAATGTACCAATGAATGTAAGTTGAGACAAAAAAGCATCAATCTCAGACTTCACTTCGCCTTTAAGGCGAAAAAATTTAACAAAGCAGTTGATGGGAGCAATTCGTAATATACAATTAATTAATAAATTAATCAAATTAATTAAATAAATTTACAACAAAAATAATTCAAATTAAACTCCAAAACAGAAATTGCATCACATAAATAAATCAATCTTTAATGGACAAAAAAATATCTTGGAATAGAATTAAGAATATTTCGATGGAAAACATCATCAACGTCATCATTATCAATCAATTTAAATGGTACAACAAACATTCTAAACTTAGTTAACACACATACACCACACACACACACATACGTACACACACACACACCCACACACCCACACACACACACACAAACAAACCTACACGCCTATGTAGATCATTACAATTAATGCGTATTACTGACATTGTCATATCTCTTTATCATTAAGCAATACATAACCGCAAGAGTCGCTAACTTCTATCGATAGATACTCAGCCACTGAACTGCACCAAACACACATTCCATCTCATGCCATATCACATCAACACACATTCCATCCCATGCAACACATGTACTACGAAAACACCTCTGTACACATTTCTAAAAAAAGATTTTGATATGATCATTATCACTATTACATAAGCATTATATCTCATATATATATATATATATATATATATATATATATATATATATATATAAACGACATGCAATCAAGACGGGAATTAAAGCATTATTCCTGGAGAAGAATACAGCAGAGCCAGAAATAGAAACTGACGATACGATACACCACCTCTCAACACATTCAAATAACCATCCACATCCACACAAAAAATTACATCAGTGCAGCCACACACACACACACACACACGTACACACACACACACGTACACAGACACACACTTACACTGACACACAAACATATACACGCATACAGAGATGATATGCATCACAACACACACACGTACACACACACGTACACACACACACGTACACAGACACACACTTACACTGACACACAAACATATACACGCATACAGAGATGATATGCATCGCAACACACACACACACACACACACACATACACACACACACACACAGACACACTGACACGCAAACATATACACGCATACAGAGATGATATGCATCACACACACACACACACAAGCACCTACTAGGAAGGAGAGAGTTCCCTCTGTATTAGACACATTAATGTTAGATAAACGCAATAATAAATTATTAGTGAACTGTGTTGCATGAAATAAAGCGTCTCATTAATATTCATAACAAGGCCTAATTAATAAATGTCAGGACATCTGGACCAATCACGTTCCCAGTAATCACCGGCCAGCAGCCAATCACTTTTCCCCGTGTGTGGGTTTGTCGACATCTTGAACCATCTGAATGATTGAATGAATGAATAGAAAAACGAATAAATACCGGAGAAATACCAGAAAGCGAATAAAAACCAGCGAATAAATAGAAACAATACATTGGATTGATTAGTACAAGATGGCCGCATGGCAGTGATATTTTACTCAAGTAAAAGTAAAAACGAAAGTAAATTGATTCGCTTTTTTACTTGAGTAAAAGTAGAAGCTCAAGTAAATTGATTTTGAAAAGTAAAAATAAAAGCGAAGAAAAATGATTTCTCGCCAAGTAAAGCTGAAGTAAAATGATTTATCCTCAAAAACAATTTAGTTATACTTTTTCAAATATTTTGCGCCACAAAATGCTTTTAAAAAATTTAATAACGATTTCCACTTTCCGGAAATCACGTGCTTTCTTTTTCCTTTCCTTGTTCCTTGGTAATCGACGTGCTCTTCACGCAACAAGTTGTTTTAAAACTGACTAATAACCACGCGCTAGCACGAATCCGACTGGATACGAAGCCAAAAATTTGTTAGCATACGTCTCTGTCAATAACTTAACTTAATATCTCAATCTCTTTATAAAAACTTGCAAATACTACCATGTACAAACGTACACATTAAAACGCACCTATGTTATACAAACAAGTGTGTGTATTTGTATATACATGCAAGCACCACACATGTTAGCACATTTTGAAAAACAAATTTCACAATCATCGTGCCTGGCGTTAATGTCTGGGGTAATTCGATTGTAATTAAAATATAATTAAGATGGTCACACCAATCAGATGGTCCAAGCGATGTAATCGTAATTCTTCTCGCTTCCAATCATTTTGTAATATATACATACAATTACATACAGGCTCAGTCACATAAAATGTTTCTAACTTTCCCAGCTTTCATCAATAACCTCAAATGCATTTGACTAATTCCACCTAATTAACAAATTCACTATGTCGTTCCTATTAATGTTTGTCAGTTGGCACCTACTTGATGTAAAGTGGCTTCTGGTTTGTAGGTGAGTACAGTCTTAGCACACACGCGCACGCACGCACACACAAAAAACATCCCCTTATAATAAGAATGATGATAATTTCTGCGACATTCCTTGCACGTTGGTCGGTATTTATTCAAGGATTAATTAGTTCAAACAGTTCAGCAGTTGCTGGCTCGAAGCATATTAATGCACGTCACGGCAAATCTTCTCGTGTACTTTAGCACTTGCCTTGTGTTTATTTATTCACTCAATGTTAGTTATGTAATTCGATGTCTCCCCTCTCTACCTCTCTATCACTTTCTTTCTTATGATGGCTGAATGATTTACTGAGGAATTATTCATTTATTATTACGGCATTTGGTGAAACCAACAAGAACAATATCAGCAGCAACAAAGACAACATCAGCAGACATAAACAAACACAACATCAGCAACAACAAAAACAACATCAGCAGCAACAAAAACAGCATCAGCAGCAACAAAAACAACATCAGCAGCAACAAAAACAACATCAGCAGCAACAAAAACAACATCAGCAGCAACAAAAACAACATCAGCAGCAACAAAAACAACATCAGCAGCAACAAAAACAACATCAGCAGCAACAAAAACAACATCAGCAGCAACAAAAACAACATCAGCAGCAACAAAAACAACATCAGCAGCAACAAAAACAACATCCGCGGCAACGACATCTCACACTGGCTCAGGTTCCTTGTTCAACTTTTTCATCTCCTTGCGAGCTGCCCTCTGCTTCTCTTCCAATCTGTTCTTCTCGAAAGAGGCTTCATCTGCATGGTGGATGGAAGGGTGGGTGGGTTGGTGAGTAACTAACATATCAAATAGCTAACCATTTACCAACCAACCAGCCAGCCAGCCAACCAACCAGCCAACCCAACTAACCTGACAATCCGAGCTCCATTTTACGCATGTCTGGTCTGAACCGGCAATCAGTGGGAGGTAGGTGGCTCACGTCCTCGGGCATCTCGTTCAGTTGCATTGCAAAGTAGGTGAAACTGTAGTACTAAGGGGAAACATTTGAATAACACTAACAACAATCCGGCTGAACAGATGATGATGCTACAATCAATTTACACGATGCCGATTCACGGGGTTAAATAAAGTTTTAGCGAGCAAGTTCATCAAACAGGGTCAGATAATTGTGAATTTCATAAAACAGAAAAAAGAACTGTACATCTCTCGAATGCAATAAAATTAATGAACACGTGGAGAGGATGAAGGCGAGGATTAAAGAGTGAAGATCGAGAAAGCACTGATGAATAAAAATATTGATGCTGAACTTTTGAAAAACTTGAAAACAGTGTACGCCAAATAGATAGAAACCTTGCTATGATTAGGAGGCCTGGGGAAGGGCTTCCACAGCAAGGTCAACCCGTCAAGGTTGTACCGACATTTCTCTAATTTAACCTTCGGTTTGTCCTCTGGCACCAGATCGAGGTTCATGGAAGGATCACTCTGTGTTTTGTGGAAGCTGGCAGTCGATGATGAGGGGGACGAAGTGTCCGAGTCCCCTGCTACCGTATTCTGCAGCATGGATGTCTGAGTAAGTTAGTGAGTGGATGAGTGAGCGAGTGGGTGAGTGAGTTAGTGAGAGTGATTGAGTGGGTGAATGATTGAGTGAGTAAGTTAGTGAGTGATTAGGTGAATTAACTACATTGGGTAGCCATAAAAGGAATTTTTTTTATCTTTAAACACTTCAGACACGTTCAAATAGAATAAGTTAATATCTTGTTAAGTCAGACAACGCATGTGCGTGCAATGATGAATGTTGCATGCTGAATGTTGGATGGTGGTAATAATAAAAATAACAGAAACGCCGAAAGAATAAAATACAAAGACATCAAATTAATGTTTACACTGATGATATGGATAACATTGCTATGAGAATCAGCATATTTAGAGAACAATATTGATAATAACAACACAATAATATTACCTATAAAAATAAATAATAGTAATAACAAAAATAATAAGCAAATATGGCAGAAGTAGAGGAGCTAACATTTTTACTTTGATGATTCTTGTACTGCTTCAAGTACTCGTCCCACTGGCTGATGTTGAAACTGTAGAAGGAGTCTAACCAGTTCCCACAAAAGGCCCTCTGCTTCTTCTTCCTAAACAATTTTTGTAAATTATTAATTAATTAATTATTAATTATTATCAATATCATATTTAAAGTTATTAAATCATTTTAATTATTTTCATCAAACGCTTTCTAGGAGTCAGATGACATTTACATTGTGTGGATTAGAATCTAAATTTGCATGTCATCAATATCAACAAATGAATAACAAGATACAACATCAACACGCAACATCAACACACAACATCAACACACAACATCAACATACAACATCAACATACAACATCAACACACACCATCAACACACAACATCAACATAGCGTTTAGAGAGCCAATCAACAAATACGATAAACAATGTACTATAAACAGTGTACCAACGTGCACTGCACAGTACACTACTCTACACACGCACACACACACACACACAGGATCAACAACAGACAACAACATCAACAACAAACATCAAAAACGAGAACAAACACCAAAAACGACAGCAAACATTAACAAAAACAACATGATGGAAGACACCAACTTATCATCCTGTATATATCCATCAATCCGATGCAGATCCTTGCCAAACCATCCACACGAATGAAACGCCAGGATGGCTTTCCAACCGGTCATGTGGCTCGTTATCTCCATGTCACCGTACTGACGGGGTAGAGGTGGAAACAGTCATCACATTATTTTTATCACATTCAAGTTCATCGTCTAATCTCAACCAAAACTGCACACGTACACAACCACACAACCTTCGCCCAGATATGTGGCATCACCCTAATAACACATGCTCCAGTGTTAGTGATTACATCTGAACATTTCCAGATTTTAGATTGTTAAAGATCGGGTTTTGTGGAGGTCGATGGTCGCCAATGTCCTGAAAGGATAAGAAAGCACGAGAAAGAAAGAGAAGAAGTTGGTGATTATATCTGAACCTTTCCAAATTTTATTAACTCTGCGAATGTTTCCGTTAATTTCATTTTTCAGAACATCGCAACAGAACACTTTCAATTGCCTCACCGTTCAATACCATCTTTCTGCCTCTACCAAACTTCCATCACAAACATCTGTTTGGTTTTTCGCAAGGAATAATTTCAAACCAGTTTCAAGCCAGTTTTCAACCAGTTTCCAGCCAGTCAGCTTTCTGGCAGGCTTCCAATGATCGACATTTTCAAGCTATTAATAGTTCTCTACTCGTCAGATTGACTTTGTCTGTCCAATTCAGATACTGCAAACGACATCCTACCACCATCTTCTCCTTCTTCCATTTCATCCGACAATCTCTCCAAAAAATCGTCTGTGCAGCCGGATTCATTTGCCTTTGATCAACCATAACAGGAAACAGACATGATTACGACGTATATGCGGGCTGTTGGCGGATTGGTTAAAGATGCCTTGTCGGCCCTGCTTTAAAGTGACCAAGTGGTCTGAATGTAAAAAGATGCCAGCCTATCACATACAATGTATGTGTGTGTGTGTGCGTGACGCGTGGTTTTAACGAGTTTTCACGTATGACGTGTGTGTGTGTCTCTGTGTGTGTGTGTGTTAATTCCTGTGAAGAAAGTGCTATAAGGAAAATGATCTTTAACCTTCAAATCGTAAGCCATAAATACTCACAAACATATTTAAAACACGTACAAGTACACAGGCAGATACGCACACAAACATACACACACACACACACACACACACACACACACATAAGCCCATACAAGTAAACACACACAAGTCCATTAAGACATACACACACGAGCACATGCATACAATACACATATGTGAAAACAAACATGAACAAAGACATATACTAACATGCTCAATCCAAATTTTACCCACAATGACGTTATGAACGCAGCAGATGACATTCTGCCACGAGTAAGCTTCATTATGTCTGTGCAGTCATGATGTGGGTGGTGATGAGGATAAGGATGCGATGACGATGATGATGACAATGATGATGACGATGGTGTGTGAGGTGATGATGAAAAATTATAGAGAAATAACAAATAAAAATGCGGATGACGACAACGA